CGTCCGGGGGTCATGCCCGGCCGGTCACCCGGTCGCCAATCCGGGTGTGACATCGGGACCCGGGCGCCCACGATATCTCCCTAGGTTACAACCAAAAATATTCTACAGAATCCTGTCAAAATGGGATTCAGTTTTGGACGGGGTTGAGTACACCATATCAAGTAGGAGTGGTTTAGACAAGGATAGTACAAGTCTCATGTACGGCAACAGCAGTGAAAAGCAAATAGGAGTTCTTTTTAAAAATATTCTACAAAGTGGGATTCAGTTTTGGAAGGGGTCGAGTATACCATAGCAGGTAGGAGTGGTTTCAACTAGGATAATATAAGTCTGACATTGATGGGTGTGGGAGTGCCCAGGGAATATTGAGAAGTGTCAGGGAGGGGTCTCGTGAGGGACTGGGCACCAGGAAAAGAAAAAAGAAGAAGCCTCACATACAACACTAGCGGTGAAAAGCAGATAGAAGTCCAGGGACCAATACGAGACATCCTCCTAGTGATTAAAGTTCTTCAACCACCATTTCACAGAATTTCCAAGGCTCACGAGCATCCAACTGTTTTTTCTCATAGTGGCCTTCCACGTTCGCTATCACCCCAGGCACAAAGCTTCATGGCCTTATTGCGTAAACCGGTAGGAGCCCGACTTAGCTTCGGGCGAACTGGAGTTTTAACCGACGGTCCGCAAAAGTGGACAGAGAGGGATTACTCAGAGGACAGAAGGTCCTGACCTTCTGTCCTCTGATGGGAGCAGCCCCATTAGAAGAGGAAAGAGCTGGTCTTTTTATGGCAGGAACATGGACAGCAAACGAAAAGCAGGGGTGGAGCAGACAGTAGTACATCCTTCCTGCAACAGGAAGTATTCAATGCTGCTGTCTCAGGGTCGCTTGACCATAACGAAAGGAAAGTGTTGAATGTGTACCTGATGAAAGGGACATTCAACGTTCAAAACAAGAAAAAGAAATTCCCACGTGGAAAACTGCAACGTGTGCACTTTTTGTTTTTCTTTTTTTTTGGCTTACCCTGCCAGCTAGCTACCATAGCCGTCGCACGTGAGAGAATACGACAAAAGGTTAACCGACCCCCAAATTTTCACCCCCCAATACTCGATTTAATATGGGCAGAAGTGTACCCAGATCCGTTTCAGCAAAGCACAGCAGTGAGTATGCCCGAAGAAGCTTTCACACGTCACTTAAGTTCCTTAGAAAAGGTATCAGTCACTAGGGCACACCAAAACCTCCTTAGCCACCCATCGGGAACAAGGTCCCCACTTACCCAGATTCTTTCCCTCTGGCCCTCCGGATGTTGGTCTGCTTAATCCACGACCAGAAATCGAGAGTATGTGAAGCAGGACCCCAACCTAGCAGAGTTGGTTCATCGGCAGGCAGGCGCAGCCCCTGACCAGGATGCTGCTACACATACCTTCTGGCACAGCGCTGTGGCGGTTCGAGGGCTGATTTGCGGAGGGGTTAGGTGTCTTTTTAATTTTTGCCACAACAGCCCCTATTTCTCCAAGACGAGAAGGTCCAAAATCGAAGCAGCTTCTCTCCTATTGCAGACAACTGAAACACTTGAGACAATTCAACGCTGAAGATCTGAGAAAAAATGAGCAGCAATATACCTCCGCCTTTTTCTGCCTCCTTTCATAGCATGCAAGTGGGCCGTTATGTCACACTGGGATGTGGGCAGCTCGCGCTCAACCACAATCAACGTGGCGAGCCTTGTACATGAGAGCCACAGTAAAAGGGGAGTTGCAAGAACAAATGAGAGGGGTACCCAAAAAAGGCAAAGCGAACAGAGCTAAGAAAGGGATTGGAACACTTCTATTATGTTCCGTGTTGTGCAATCAGACTCGCTTTTTTCTTCATCCGCATACATGCAAACAGGTGGCAATCCACACTGGCGCTGTGCGCCCACACAAAGCTCAGAGATATTCAAGTCGAGAACACAGTTTGGATACAAACTCGCTCCCTTCCTCTTTTCCTCCAATGCTTGACGCTGCAAAGGATCCTGAACTGCCTGGATCTCAGCAATTGCCGCGTCTCTCTCATCCTGGAAATCATTGCCGCTTCATCTTCTCCCAGGGATAAATTAGCCACCCACTCACTTACCACTTTCCCACTTGCCTCTGGTCTGCTGTGAGTAACGTGAGAAGAAACTCGGAACGCCACTTCCGGACCTTCCAGAAGTCTGTGGACTTGGCCTTTCAGGACTGTAGCAGCTACGACCTTCACCTCTCAGGACTGTAGCAGATACGACCTTAACCTTTCAGAATTGCTACAGCTACGGCCTCTACACAACTATGACCCCTAGTCGACAGACCTACAGATCGAGCCCCTACAACTACACAGACCTACGACAGAAAACAGCCAACTACCAGAACACAGGTCACGGGTTCAAACACACAGGGGTCGACTCGATATCGTACACGGGTGTGGTAAGGTCTAAGGATCGGGCCCTGGGATCTGCATCTGCTACTGCTAAGGTGAAAACCGTTTCACTCCCGCCGGCCTAAATTCGAGGTCCTCCGAGAATACTTCACTCCAAGGCAGGAGCTTTACCTTTCGTATCTCTCTCGTAGGCTCTATTTGGGTAGACCACCGATCGTCTTCCGGCTCCTTATAGAGCAAATCGAATATTTCTGTGGACGACCTCTACCTCCCGTTCTAAACACATCTTCACCTACAATGTTGTCAATGTCGTACCTTCCATCCATGTCCGGAGGGATCATGCGCCTCCGTGATGGAAATTGTTGACTTGTGGTACAAGGCAACAACTTTGAAGCATGAAAGACTGGGTTGGTGTGGAGGTGTGTTGGAATCTCTATGATGTAGGACGGTGTCGAGCGCATCGGCTCCCGCCTTTGTTCGCAACGGCGAGAGCCCTCCCGGCCATGTCACACAGGAGTAAAACGAAACTTACCAAAAGACAACTTGGGATTGACGCAGAATAATCCTGCGAACCGTCGAGGCTGTCGGGGTCGCATCGTCCCTTGGCCGCTCTAACCGGGTGCGCCAGCTATACATTTTGCGGTCCCCTACGACAGGATAGGTTCCCGCGGGGCATAAGCTTTCCCTCCCTAAAGGGTTGTCACCACCCTTAGGGGCGTATCCCTACCGAGCTACCGACCCACGTGCGAAAGCTTTTAGATGCAATTGCAGAGGTAAATCAGCCGAGGGCGTTTGCTCGTTCGCTGTAGCATACATACGCTTGGTTAACGCCAAGCGAACCCGAACGTCGTCCGTTCCTAGGGCACTGATCTCCTAGGTGCGGAGCGAATGCCGACCGACTAGGCCGGTCTCAACCAAGCGTGAAGCCCAACCCGATCCTAGTCCCTTAGTCACACAATCGAAAGAAAATTGTAACAACCATACATAGTTACATCGAAAGAAACCAGCCGTAGTCGATAGGACGGTATGTCCAATCTGAAATGATAACTAAAAAAAATCGAATCTTCATTTAATACATCCATTATCACAAGATCAAAATACAATCCGACCGCCTCAGGTCGAACACCACGAAACAATCAAACAACCGCCAACAAAGAGTTGGCTTACTGAGAATAACAGTGATGCAGCCGACAAAGTAGTCGGTCTGCCTTAGTTTTGACTTGATGAGACGTGTTGCCAACGTTATTCATTCCACCTACTGCCAACCTAAGATAATACATGCTCACACCCGTCTTCATACTTGCATAATCTTATTGGATGACATACTACTTTGCGAATGATTCTTGATCAGGGGCATTGCTTGAAGTCTTGCATGCCTCTCCCTCTAGGAAGTGGTCTGGGATACTCCTCCTCCTCGTCCGAGCACAAAGCTCGGATCTCAGAAGTTGGGCCGTCTCCAACGAATCGGCAAAGTACCCCCCCGTAGGACGGTCCACTCTGGGTTGATGACAAGGTTGGCTCCTGAAGCAACGAACCCCCGCCCCAGATGCTTCCTAGAGGTAGAAGATGTGTCCACTGCAAGTGACCTTCATATATTCTTCATTTTTCCTAAGTCCAGGGTAACTTATACGAAAAGAATTTAGGAGAGGTAAAGAATGAGAATCATTTGGACAAGTACAGGTAGATAAGGTCGTTCGGGATAGAAAGAGTCGATCCTCAGGAAAAGACTAAATCCGTTTGACTTTATCTGCTTTATTTGAATCAGATTCATTGTATGA